AGTTAGTTTAGTTACGTTACGTTACGTTACGTTTACGTTTACGGTTAACCGTTAACCGTTACGTTAGTTAGTTAGTATATACTACTACGTAGTCGTTTCTCTCTCTCTCTCTCTCTCTCTCTCTCTCTCTCTCTCTCTCTCTCTCTCGCTCTCCAGGATTTCAGAAGCGACTTTAGTGTTTGGCCGGCTATGCTCTAAATGGAAATGATTGATTTTTTTATTGATTCTAAAATTAAAATGATTTTTATAGTACTTTCTTTTGCACTTCTTAGGGTTGAGTTCATGATGAAGAGAGCTGAACCATTTGGTCAAGTGGAAACGATATCATCTGATGATTCCTCAGACTCAGATTCTGGAGATGATAAATACCAAAAGACAAGTGGTAATGGAGCAATTGATAAGCCTGCGAAACTTGGTACCGCTGAAAGTATGCATCTAATTGCTTGGATACATCCTGTATTGCTATCTTTCCATTGATGTCATCTTGTTTGGTTTTTTACTTGTTCGGTTTTTTACTGATCTTTTTTTTTTATTATTGTTAATTCTTAATTTCATTGATAAAAAAATGAGATTAACACATAAAAATTACATTGCTATTTAAAAATTTGCAAATATCTGCATCCACTTTTTGATCTTTGCACCTGAGAATAAGATGGGTATTCTCCTTCTATCTCTCCAAACAAGTTAGAATAATAGCCATGGGTAAATGTTAAATGTACAATTCAGATAATGGAATAAGTTGATAAGAATTCATGGCTTCTAATGTGAAGATTCTGTTTGCTGATACAGTTTTTGTAATTGAAAATAGGTATAATTAGACATGCAGCAAGATGATTTGTATGCCCATTGCAGTTCCATACATTGATGCTGAAACTTTTGAGGTTTTGGGCCTGTCATTCACTCCAATAGAATTTCCAATACTTGGAATTTATTCTAACTGTGTTATGTAAGCATGATATTAAAGTTGATTTCATACATATAAGGAGTTTGAAATGTTAAGTCAGATAACTGAACCATTTTTTTAATTATAGTGGAAACTCACTCATTACAACATAATAATACTAGGGAAAAGATCATTAAAGGAGATGAAACCCCTTAAATGTCAAACTATCCCTATTAACATTTGAGGGCATACTTTTTCATTTAACTTAGATACCTATCTCAAAAAAAAAATGCCTTTGTCCAGTATTTGGAATGAGGAACAATGGGGGGCGTTTGTAATTTGACCCCCAAGAGGCCTCACCCGAATGATAGAAATACCTCAAGTTGTTCTGCATTATAAATAAGGAAGACATTGTTCAGTATTAGCACAACAGAGCAACTAGATACATACAAATCATTTAAGTGCATGAAGACAAAAGTATCCCTAATTGTTTTGCAATACTAATACTGAACAATATTTTTCTTATTTGTAATATGGAACAACTAGGGGTATTTTTGTCATATGGTTGAGGCCTCTTAGGGGTCAAATTATAGAAATGCCTATGATTGTTCCACATTCCAAATACTAAACAAGGGCAAATTTGATACTTCTATTTACTTATTTATTTGAGGGGGTATCTAGTTGAAATGAAAAAGGAAAGTATGCCCTCATATGCTAATAGAGATAATTTCACCCCTTTAACAATTTTATAAGGGCTTTCATTCCCTTTAATGATATTTTCTCATAATGTTATAATGTGTAAATACTAAATTTTTTGAAATGTCATCAATGGAATTTGGTGGGTAAGGAATTTAAGTAATAGGAGTTATTAAATTAATAAACAATAGCCCATTAAACGTCAAATAGAAAAATGTTGAAATGCTTGAGATGCAGTAAATATATTAAGACGTAAGAAAATGGAGTAGAATCGGTGCCATCGTGCATGTTGTTTGCGGATGACATAATTTTGATCAATGAGACCCAAAACAACGTCAACATAAAGTTAGAACTTTGGAGGGATGCTCTAGAATCTAAAGGTTTTAAAATTAGCAGGAATAAGACAGATTGTAAGGAATGCAAGTTTAGTAATAATAGGAGTAGAGATGGGGAAGTAGTTAAGATTGATGGCCAAGAAATACCAAAAGATCACATTTTCAATATCTTGGGTCGATAATCTAGGAAAATGGAGAGATTGATGAAGATGCTGCACATAGATTAGAGCTGGGTGGGCGAAGTGGAGATGTGCTACTAGAGTTTTTTGTGATTGCCTTGTACCAATGAAGTTGAAGGGCAAGTTCTATAGGATAGCTGTGAGACTAGTCACCAACTTTACACTATGGGACGGAATGTTGAGCGGTCAAGAAATAACATACTCGGAGAATGAGTGTAGCTGAGTTGAGGATGCTGAGATGGATGAGTGGCAGACAAGAAGGGATATAAATCAAAATAAATATATTCGGGAGAATTTAGGTGTAGCACCAATAGGCGATAAGATGAGAGAAAGTAGATTGGCCATGTGTGGCGCAGACCCAGTACAATACATGTTAGGAGTTGTGAGTTAGTTCAAGTGGAAGCTAGAAAAGGGCAAGGGGTAGGCCCAAAAGGATGTGGTTGGAAGTAATGAGAAAAAATATGGGGACTTATGGCCTCAATAAGGGTATGACCAGAACGGCGGACCAAGATTCATTTAGCCGACTGCAATTAGTTGGGAAAAGACTTTGATGATGATGATGAAGAAAACATAGTAGAATGAGTTGTCAAAATGATACTAGAGTTCTCACAAATCCTCACTAGTTAATGTTGTGAAAAGTATTTTCATCAACTGTCCTCAATTTTAAAAATGTACATTTATGGAAGGTGGATTTTTTTCAGGCCTTTAATCTGGGTGGGTGGGTTGGTTGTTTGGAGGTGTTGCATGTCCCACAATATAACAGTTGTATGGATTGATGGGTCTTGAAGTGGATGATGTAGGAAAATTTACTGTTACATATTTTATTGGTTTGTGAAGTTGGGTTTTGGGTAGTACTCCTGTTGTTTAGTTCGGGCACTATGGATCCACCGAAAGTTGCTTTCAGATGGATGGCCATTGAAACATCTTAAAGATGGTTCATCTCTTAAACCGTGGATTTCAGATTCCTTGCTTGTGGTTTTTACCATTGAAGTATTTGACATTTATTTTTGCATCTCCTTGATCTCTAATGTGGGAGATGTTGGGATTTCTAGCTTGTGATTTTTATCCATTGAAGTATTTGACATTTAGTTTGGCATCTCCTTGATCTCTAATTTGGGATATGTTGGGATCAGTGGAAAGGCTTGTTCTTGGTCGATATGTTCCTTTAGGATAGGTTTAGGGCCCATTTTTTCTCGAGTAAGTGGTCTTCTTGATTACTACTTACGAAGATATAATGCAAAACAAGGCTTTTATAGAGTGTAGTAGTGGATTATGGATTTTTTCATGGGGTTCAGAACTATGGCTTACTCGTGACTAGTGATCTATGCAAATTGAGCCTCAGAGAGGTCACATTTTTGGAAGATTTGCCCAACAGCAATCTTTTGGAAAAACCGGAAAAAATGCAAATATAGAGGTGGTAAGAGTAGGTATTGGACATTAATGGGCTGTAGTGCTTAAGGAATTACCTGAAATAAAGGTGGACCTAATCCACTGATGGAAGACAGTGGTTCTTAGTGAAATTCCCAGTCCCAAAGCAGAAGATCAATGGAGACAGCTGCCAAAGGGTTTCAATGCTTAACTTTTATGACTGTTTTATTGGTAAAGTTGGACCATTGAATGTGGTTCAGATCCTTGGGAGCCATTGAATTGGAAGGTTGATTTCCAAAGTAGTTGGAGGTCTAGGGCAGTCTGCTTCTCTATTGAAGCAGAATCCATTATGTTGATTGGTTTTTTCTTTTCTTTGACCTTGACCTTTAATTTTCACCAGTGATATATAAGCTAATAACTAGGGGCAAATATGCTGGCTGAAAATGTGTCAACAGAAATAATATAGTAAAATAAATCAATGACATGGGAAAGAAGGAAAAATGGTGGGATTATGCGATGCACATGAGGTCACCGAATATCAATTTTAAATATTTGTAGAAAGAGTATGGTATCTCATCAATTTATGATAGACTCTTTCAAACATTATTCGAGGAATTCCGCTATTTTCAGGGAAGAAGAGAGTTATTTGCTCTCTCTTCTATTAGGGAACTAATGGCAGTAGTTGGGGTAATGGAAATTTTATGAGAGCAGCATCGAGTCAATATCTTCAACATAACGCTTGCATCACGTGAACCTCTACAGTATTGTAAAACTCCCCAGTTACAAGGATATCAATTTTAAATATTTGTGGGAAGATCATGATATCTCATCAATTTATGAAAGACTCTTTCGAACACTATTCGAGGAATTCCACTATTTTCAGGGAAGAAGAGAGTTATTTGTTTTCTCTTCTATTAGGGAACTGATGGCAGTAGTTGGGGTAATGGAAATTTTATGACTATACGAGAGAATCGAGTCACCATCTTCAACATAACCCTTGCATCAAGTGAACAACTACAGTATTGTAAAAATCCCCAGTTGCAAGGACAGGAATTCGGTTTGAAATCATGTTAAAAAATGAAACTCAAACTTTTACATCTGATAATCATTAATTTATCAAATAGCTAGCTTATATTAGTCTGTCTTATGACTTCTCCTATCCAGTGTCGTAGTATCATCCCTTAGTTAAGCATGATCTATGATACAGGTGATGCGTTGATGAGAAGAGCAAAGATGTATGAAGAATACATGAGGGACATCCCCATTCCATCTCATCGCAAGGCCGTCATCCCATTTAATTCATGGCAAGGCTTAGCCAAGTCCATGAAGCAATTATATGGGCAACCTTTGCATTATCTTACCAATGTTCTCTTGAAAGAGTGGGACCATTCGAACGATGGGGTCAACCATGATGGGCGTTTGTTGGATGAGATTTTCCATCCTGTGAGAGCAGAAGCCATTGTTTGGGCTGTCGAGGAAATCCATAGGCTCACCTCTTCTCATCACCATCTTGCCAAGCTATGGGCTGAAGTACCCCTGCATCAAGCATATGTTGATGCCATCCATCCCCAAACATGGAATTGATTGGCCTCCAATACCCCTCTCTCTCTCTCTCTCTCTCTCTCTCTCCTCTCTCTCTCTCTCTTCTCTCTCTTCTCTCTCTCTCTCTCTCTCTCGTCTGT